TAAAGGAGCTCTGGGGGTGCAGTGGTGAGAGCATTCAAGCGCTAACCAAGAGGTTGGCAGTTCAAACCCACCAGTTGCTGTGCGGAAGAAAGATGCCATCTGCTACCGTATAAAGATTTACAGCCTTGGAAACCCTATGGGGCAGTTCTACTCTGTCCTAGAGGGTTGACATGAGTCAGAATTGACTTGATGGTGTGGGTTTAGAACCTGAGTTATTTGTTGTTCTGTTTTATTCTATTAATGCGTTTGAGAATATCTAGATTAATGCGTAGGATAATATCTTATCTAGCTAGCTATTAATTGTAATGTTTATCTAGCTAGTTACCCATCAACTTATGTTTTTATATCTTATACTATTACAAATAGGATTTAAAGTAGGCAATATTTACTAAATATAAATTTTAAAAATTAAAAAATAGAAAATAAGAAATAATAATTTTGGTAAATAAGAACCCAGGTAATTTTTTTTATGTTCTTCATTCCTATATACATTTTCTGAGCAAAAATAAGAAAAGGAAGTGCATGGAGGGAATTGTTTAAATGTGGTATTTGGGATAAGATGGTAACTTCTTTATTTCCAGAAGATATGCAGTTATGAAAATCTTTCAGTTATATCCCATCAGAATGTAAAGGGGAACTGGTAACACTAGTAAATGATATAGTGGCTTGACAGAATACACCAAGGAAAAAAACAGCCTGACAAGGAACCTGACACCATCAGCTACTGGTTAGCACACAATATCATATAATAGTTATATAAAGACAACACTAGCATTCCCTACCCTCAGAGAACCCTTCCTCATTTTTTCTTTCTGATTTTCCAATTCCTGGGTCAAATAAAAGTTAAAAGTATTAAATATGAATTCTGCTTATTCTTCTTTCTGTCTGTTTACATGGGTCATTTAACGCATTATATTCTCAGCAATGAAAATGTGTTTAGTATTTTTTAAATAAATTACTGCCTTACTTTAAAAATTAATTTATAAAATCATTTAAAAATTATTTCAAAGAAGCAAACCTGATTCAGACTGAAACAAACCTATTTTAAGTTATAACACAGGAACATTTTAAAGTCAGTCTTCAAAGATCTGTTTCTAATGCTCATTTGCTCTTAATACCAAAACCCCAAACTCAAAACTTACTGCAGTCAAGTCTATTCGGACTCGCTGCAACCATATAGGACAGAGTAGAACTTCCTCATAGGGTTTTTCTAAGGCTGTACATGTTTACAGAAGCAGATCGTCACATCTTTCTCCTGCAGAGCAGCTGGTAGGTTCGAACCACCAACCTTTTGGTTAGAAGCCAAGTGATTAACCACTGTGCCCTCAGGGCTCTTTGCTCTGCATACAATGATGGTCAAATAATTGTTTCATGAACCTGTCAATCTAGGAAGCTGGACATCTAATACGGTTTATTTAATATGCTTGGTAACTAACCTTCAGAAATCATTTTTACAATATACAGGTAGCACATCAGGAGGCTTCTGACTTCATACTGATCCAGTCTGTTATACTGGGATACACTACTCCTTGTAGAACTCTGCCTGGTCTGTAAAATGGAAAAAAAAAGGGGGGGGGCACTTGTGTGAAACGATACTAAACCCAAACCAAACCAAACCCCCTACTGTCAAGTTGATTCTGACTTCCAGTGATCCTATTAGTACTACAATTTCTCTTGGCCTTTAACTCGGTCATTTTTCTCATTAGTCCTCTTTGGGAAAACTCTAAGCATAAATCTAAATTTGATGTCACACTCGGAAGGAGATAGATTGAATCTTTGTTGCTACTGTACCTCTAATCACTGGGGATTACCCTGAGGAATCATCATTAAGACTCAACTGTGTTTCATTCCCATATGCCCTGTGTTTTGGTATTTAGAATTTTTAATCGATGTGGCTATTACAGGAAAAATACCTTGCACATGGAAGAAGAACTTAAGGTACACAGAAGAATAAGGAATATTTTAAAACCCTTTAAGGAGTCTCTCCAACCTCCAAATCATAGGTCATAAAAATCGATCTGAAAATGGACTAATGATGGAATACTATGATAATTATGCTTGTTGTTGTTGTTATGTGACATGAAGTCAGACCCGACTCATACTGACCCCTCCTTGGGTTTCTGATGCGGGATTACTACAGAAGTAGATTGCCTAACCTTCCTTCCGAGGAGTGGCTGGTGGGTTTGAACTGCCGGCCTTCTGGTTAGCAGTCAAGTGCCTTAGGCACTGCGCTACCAGAGCTCCTGATAATTACACTAAAGAGGACAAAATAGTACTTCAAAACTAGATTTTCTACAAAGTAGTGATGTTCCTGTTAAAGACTTTTATTAAGCTATTAGGAGTTAAGCATGATGATATCTGGCTTATTTGGGGATTTGTACGAATAGGGTCATAATACCCTTCTAAAGAATTTACCCTTGTTAAAAACCAAGACTTTTAAGTTGAGCTAAAATAGGGACACACATTTACTAAGGCGGGATAGAAAGCTTACACTTGGAGTAAAAGAGGCCTAGGCTCTGACTGCTTCCTAGCTGTGTGACTACTAACAAGTCATTTCGCCTCTCTGACCTTTATTTGCCTTATTTATGACACTGTCTGCTGTTGTAATTCTAAATAGTGTGATACAAGAACTGCTGTGAATCAATTACTATTTACTCAAAGGCTCAAGGGAGTATACTGTAGTCCGGTGGTTCTCAAGGACTGGTCCCTGACCACAAGTATCAGCATCACTTGAGAACTTGTTAGAAATACAAGTTGGCGGGCTTCACTCCAGATGCACAGAATCAGAAACTCAGAGGGTAGGGGGTGAGTCCAGAAAACTATTTTTATTAAGCCCTCCAAGTGATTCTGATGCACTAAGAACACCACAATAGAGATAGTGCTGGCATTTTGAAAATCTGGGTTCTAGTCTCACCCTGCCACTAGCTGTGTGACTGTCCCAAGTCTTACTCCCAGTTTTCATCTGTAAATTGAGAATTGGAGTTTATTATTTTATGGACCCTTCCAGCTCTTACTTGTATATGATTCTGTGATTTTACACAGCAACGTGATGGTAAGGCTTTGCTGGTCTAAAATGAGGTCTGTCTGCCTCAAGGCAGGTACAGCTCAAACCTGAAAGGACTTGGAAGAACTGGAGAATATATTCTGATCAACTGATGCTGGGATCTGACATCATCAATTTTGCGACCTAAAAATTTCCTCCCCAGTTAATGTCATTACTGGGTTCGTACAAAAGAATGAGAGGCTGGATTAATCCTGCCAGGATGAGATTTTTAAAAGGACAAGTTACACTCAGTATTTTAAACTTAAACCTTCTCTCTGTCTAAAACACTTTACAGTGTGCTAGGTTTAAAGGAGATAGAGTTAGAACTCTTGAAGATGAATGTCTCATTCCCTACACATAATCCGAGCGGTTGCCAAGATAGGAAGGAAATGCTAAAATAGCTAAGAATTACAGGACAACCTTTTATAGATCTAAGACTGATTACAGGAGAGTTGAGAGCCTCCTATTTACATAAAAAGAAACATGTTTATAGCCTAACACATAAGTAGGGTTATCTTATATATTCAGTTTCTTACATTTTCACCAGTGTTGCCCTGATCAGGAAATCCTGTCACTCCTTCTGGGATGAGGGAACCTCTTGAATCTTCCCTCTTAATACCATGTCCATTTTGAAATGATCCATAAACTGGGAAAAAGTGAAGTCCTTGTTAGCAGCAGGAGGCACTGTCAAAAATACTCTGAACTCAATACAGCAGTTAAAAAAAACTTTCAAAAATAAGTACTAGATTCATTTAAGATAAACATTAGGGAATAGATTATGGTTATCTAAAATGTGAAGATTATATATAACATCAAAATGCCATAAGTTAAATGACAAGTTTTTTTTTCTTCTTAAATAACACTGTGTTGTATATAAAATGGTAAGATATTTCTTAGAAGTTATAAAATATAGCCACATAATTCAAGACAGTATTTCACAAATAATGAAACTTGGGTTGAGGAAAGAGGAGTGTCTTGCCCAAGCATGGTGACAGGAAAGAGAATTTGACACCAGTGTTGTTCCCATTATCCTCTGTCTTCTCATTATACCAAAGTACGTTTTAAGCTTATGCCTAAGGCATTTGACTGCTAACCAGAAGGCTGGTGGTTCAAACCCACCAGCCACTCCTTGGAAGGAAGACTGGGCAATCT